GCAAACGATGTAAAAGGACAGTTGCCGGTGGCGCTTGGGTATTTTCCACAACAACGGCTGCTTCTGTGAGGTCAGCGGTTCGTCGTTTACGTGAAGTTAAAGATCAGTAAATTAATTCAATAAAAAGATGTTTAAAATAATTCATATTTGGTTACTTTTTATACAAATTAAGATCCTATGCCTGAAATTTGACGCAAAATTTGGAGGTATTTGGGAACGATGAAAGTTTGTGAAAAGAAAATTTTACAAATTTAAAGTAATTTCTTATTTGTTATAATAATAGTGAGGTTGCATTTGACATGTAAATAGAATCAATTAATTTAAATGTCTAATTTACCAAAATTATTAATTAAAATATGTCGCTTTAGTGTGATATTTGTTAATTACAAGATTATGATTTTTTTAAATTTCTTATTAACTGTGCAACTCTCTTTGCTCTGATATATTTTTACACAATGAAAACAAATAATATGAAAGGTATTTCTGAACGGATGGTAGCCTACAATTAAATGAACATGTATTAAGAAGATGCAATAGTTGTTACAATTATTATTTTCTTTTAATATAATTGCTGATGAGACTATCACACATCAGGATGCTAGCAATTGATACAATTGTCCAGTCCTGCAGAACAAACTGTTAATGCACCACTAGCAGTACAGATAATTTTATTACTTTTAACATATCAAATTTCAGAATTGAAATATATACCAAGAGCATAGGTGAATTTCTTTTTAAAAAAAAAAAGAGGTTAATTAACATGTCTCGCACGATAATTCAGTTAATTTTTAGTTCTTACAGTTAAAATGTATCGGAGGAATCGTGCACTTTTTTTTCTTTTTTAAATTCACAAGTTCCTCAAAAAATTACGCATTTATAATAATTCTTTTTATATTAACTGTTAGAGCTTAAAAATATTATAATGATACATAAATATTTATATTTACCAAAATCTCATATTTAATTTTATTTTAAATCTATGTCATTTAACGAATATCTAGTTTAAATTTAAAAAAAAATTAACAAAAAATTGTTGAATATGAAGTTACCGAATAGCATTGACTCTTTCAGTTTCATTTTCAATATTTCAAACTGTCTCGGTTAATTTATATACTTTTTAGAGTAAATTTAGAAAATATTTGAAGTTTTTTAAAAATAAATGATAATTGCGTATTCAAATTAAATAGTAATTAAATACCTACGATAACATTAGTGTTCCTGCGTTCATTTTATTTTGCATAAAAATGTTCCTAATTTAAAATAAATTCACATACACACTTAAATATTGTTAATGAAAATAAAATGGCGCAGATTTTAAAAAAGAAATTATTTTTTGATTTAAAAGCACAAGATTGTTGTTTTATGAAGAACTCCTTGATAAGATGCTATATTACAAAAAGAAGCCTTATTTTTATCTTATTTCAAGTATATTCCATTAAATCATAGTTTACTGTAAAAAAAAAAAAAACAAACAAACAAAAACAGAACTTGGAACAATATATCGCAAGTCTCAGAAATTTCTTTTATCCATCCTTGCCATAAATATTTCGTTATATTCGACACAAATGTGAGCTATAAAAAATGATATTGTAAAAACGTAAATAATTCTTATTGGCCTTACAAATATAAACATTTATTTCATTTCATGATTAAAATAATAAAAAATGAAGAAAAAAATTACATTACACATGTCACAGTTGGTAAAAAGAATTGGTAAATACGTAATTTATTTAACATTTTGATAACTCACTCTTTTGTTCACTTAGTAAATGCACGTATTTTATAAAGGCGTAAAAATCTGCATATTTTTTTTTCTTTACAAAATATTTATGTAAGGAAAGGACAAAACAATCATAGTATCAAGGTCTCTTCGTGCCTCTTATTTTTTATAAGCACGTTTCGTAATCCGCACGATGTGAAAAACATCAGAGGCAATTCTTCGCCGACTCGTCCTCTATACGAATTTCGGCCGGAGAATTAGCAACGATATCCGTAAGGGATTTTGTTTTAGGCGGGTGACTAAAGTTGGATGCACACACGCTAAAATCCTTGGTAAGATCGCGGATTTCTTTGTCTTGATGTGATATATCACAGTTACTCGTCAAATTGACGCTGGTGCCTCCGACACTGTCATCGCTCTCACTACCACCGGCATTATTGACAAATGGCGTCGTTAAAGAAGCCGCGGCTGTGGCTGATGTTGCGCAGGCTTGATTACACTGGGCTAAAGCTATTAAAGCTTTTTGGCTCTCTCGAGCATCCACGAGGAATATGCTCTCTTTCACCTCCTTTGCATTGTATTCGTCGATTCTGTAAAAATAAATATGTTAATACAGAAGCAAAGGATGTAAGGAATTAAGGATTTAAGAAACATCCAACCGAACATTGTTTTTTAATATAAGTCGTAAGTAATATAAGCAAATGTATCATTCTACATTGTGTATTCAAGCTTATACCTATCAATTCAACTAATATTATATATTTTACACATCTATTTAAAAGAGAATATAAATTTTACATTTATAAATGAATTAATTAATTCTTAATTACTGTATAATAATTACATAAAGATAAATTTCATTTGGTATTATATGTTTATATGTCGTAACGAAATCTTTCAAAGATAAATATATTTATTTTTTAATATAGCAGTTAAATTTAATGATTTTAAGTAAACGTATTTTTATGTGATATGTATGCAATTTTCATTTTCCTTTTTTTTTTATTTTTATTTTTAACAGTTATTTTTCTAAAGGCAATTTTTATTCGTTCTGCTCTTATATTTATCAATGCGATAAAAAAGAAAAGAAAAGAAATTATCGTCAAATAAGCATTAACTTACTTATCATAAATAACGGCATGCAAGCCAAGTTTTTTGAGGTGTTGTATCGTGTCCTTGTCATTATTATCATCTCCCCAACAAAATATAATTAACCCGCGGTCTTTGACCAACTTCACCTGACTCGGATCACGTAAAATATCTTCCGTATGCACGTTTATCCCTAAGATATCGGCTGTCAATGCATGTCTCATAGCCATTGGTATAGTTTGACACCTTGGATCGTGATATGTTGGATATTTAACAGTAACACCTTGCGTTAAAAAAACTACTGGATATTTATTTTGCTTCAATCGCATCATGGCGCAAATGTCCGGATTAAAGGATGAAAATACAATTTTTCTATCGCCTCCGTGCTCCAATACATCTTTAAGTATAATGTCCAAGTACAGATTGAGGTCAAACGGGTGATTAAGTTCAAATGTGCCATCCTAGGTGAAAGAAAAAAAAAAAATTATATTTTACAATAATTGAAAGTTGAATTATACATAACTAAAGGCGTTTATAACCCGATACCTTCAATTGCATCGTCCACTTTATTTCAATGTTGCAACCAACATGCTGTTCCAATTCCTGAAGTACTGTTTGAAGTGTTGGAAACGGTTGATGATCCTCTAGATCCTCGTCAAAAAACTTTGCAGTTTTTTCTCTACCTTCTTCCAAATGATAAACCTAAGAATAAAAATTATGATAAAGTTTTTTTTTTTGTTTTTGTTTTTGCATATTTATATTTTGCTTTTATTATAATTTTTCAAAATACACATAGAATATCAAAAACAAATTAAATATTAACATTATCCTTTCTATTCCGTGAACTCAGATTCATGCCGCTGTATAATGTAAGATTAATAAGAGTGGATAACATTAATGGTGCGATTACTTTTGTAATATTTTTGGACGGAAAATGTCTAATAAAGCATTTATAATACTATAATGTAAATAAATGTAGATTTAAATTATCTGAAGAATCGTCGTGTAATATTTAATGAGACTATATTAAAATGTTCGAATCTACGATATAGAAGCTGCGTGCCGTAGAGATGTAATATAGAGGATTTTAGAGGATTTTTAATTGGAGGTCCACGGAGATAAACTTAAAAATATGAAAAAATTCATTCGAAAAAGTAATATAACAATAGCGTCGTTCTTAACTTCAAATATGCCAAATCTAGAAACATTAATTTATCTGCTAGCCATGAAAATTTTTAATAACACTTTAAAGCCATCAAGATTCTTTGCATATGCGTAAAATTATAATTAAAAAATATAAAAATGAAATCATACTGTTTTATATGTAAACTATATATAGTGCCTATTTATGGACATATGTAATCATTATTTCGGTATTAAAAGTTAAGTATTATTGTAAATATTAGCAAAACTCGGGTTAGTTACACTCAGAAAAAAAAATCATCTTTTCATTAGCAAAATATGATATTTTTAATAATTTTAAACAATAGTTGGGAAAATCTAACAAAATTTTACTTCTTTTTTTTTCTTCTTTTTTTTTAATTACAATTAATCTCTTATTATTCATTATATTTACTTATCGACTACTATTGCGCTCAAACATTTTGTTTAAAATAAAATAATTGTATGTTTCTAAGCAGTAAAATGTAGTCTAGTATAATTTAGTATAGTGACTGCCATAATGAATCGAGCGATGGAATAAAGATTGATAAATACCACAAAATTTCGTTAAATAGATTTTAAGAAGATATCGACTTCTTATGCACTTCGATATGAAAGCTCACCGATTGTTTAACCCCCTGTTCCTCTTTATCAAGGTAATACAGCACCTGACCCAAGGAGTCTCTCGGGTAATAAAAATCCTGTTAAATATAAAAAAATAAGGTCGAATCCGATGTTGTATGAAATCAACTCTCACTTTTTAAAATTTGCTCAAATAGCGGTGTTTTTGTTTTTCTCGATGCTCTTAATATTGACTATTGATTCTCTTATTGAGTATCAATAAGAGAAAGAGAATGTAATATTGAAGGAAATGAAACGTTAAGGAAACCGAAATTAAACATCTAGTATATATTACTAAGTATAATTCATGAAGTAAAAAAATATATTAGAAAAATTTTGACATTTTTTTCAATATTTAAAAATGAAATATCTTATATTTTATAAATTAACAATAATACAATACAATGAAAATTATTTTTACAACATATTACTTTTAATAAATATTGTCTTAAGAAATAATGTTTATAAGTGTATCAACAATGAAGAAATTACCTTAAGTAAGTGTAGTTGCTGTAATGTGAGATCCTTCACTGGTATTTCTAACATATCCATAGCCTCTATTTGTTTTTTGCGCTTTAATGAAATCGATACGTAAAAATCATGATAGATAACGGGAATCAGATCCTTCGATAATTGGACATCGAACTCTACCATGTCAGCACCATGGTAAGCAGCAGTTTTTAATGAAGCAACGGTATTTTCACGAACATTAGCGCAACTACAAACGTAAATATGCAGAAAATTAAAAAATGATAATGACTACCCGTTTATTATGAATATTATTCATTTTATATTAATAATAATAATAATGTATTTTTTCAATAAATCTTGAAAATAATAAAATATATATTTATTATTTGTTTATAATTTTAATGTTTAATGGCTTTATAAACAGACAGTTGTTTCAATATAAATTATATTTACTTTTTTCTTTTTTCTTTTTTTTTCATATATATTTGTTTTCAAAAAAATCCATCGATATAAATGTCGTTCAAGTAATTGATAACTTATTAATTAGTTCTTTAAATACCATATTGCTAATTATAATTTTAGAGAAAAATGATTACGTAATGTGAAATAATAACCGAATATATCAAATATATAAAGGCTAATAATAATTGCATGACTACCAATAGCAATGAAAAATTATTATCAATATTTTACTTTTTCATTTGACATGTAAAAGAAGTCCCGAGTCCTCGATGACCGACATCTAGCCCAGACCACCTCTGCTCCCAGTGCTTTGCATATGAAATACTCATGTCCCATGGGAAATCAGGAATTGGCTTTATGGTGACGTACTCTACTGTTAATTGTCCTGAAAATGGATTTTTGCATTAAAATATACTGCAAAGCGATTTGTCTGTCAAGCAGTAGATTCGTGAAATTCAAATGTCTCGTATTATTTAATATATCAATAATAGAGGATATTTATAATCGCCTTGTGTTGAAGAAAGTAGCTCATTATTCCTTATACGTTAAATAATTTATCGTCATTTTTTATTATTACATCAATTGTTATTACAATATTGTTATCGGTAATTCGTTCGTTAATAGTCGATTAATGGAATTTGAAACAATAATAATAATATAATTATCCATTATTCTTAAGTAATAAAGTCATTGTACATAAGGGTGCAAAAGCTTTTTGTTTTACAATAATTATTCATTACCTATGGGTCTGTGTTTGGTACTTGTAATGGCAACAGTTAGAAGTCCAACGCTAGTTTGCAGAGCCCCGGGTAAAATATAACTGAAACCAATGTGAGTGGGCGGTTCTCCGGGAAAGGATCTCGTGGTGTAAACGTAATAATCAACTAAATAGGCCTGAAAGAACAATTTTATAAAAAAAAAAACGAGACACGGAAGAAATTATAAATCATTTATAACATTGATAAATGGTGTGCGTGCTTTGGTGATATATTTTCTAGCTATAGCACTTGAAATTATTGAGTTCTTAGGCAATGAACAAATTTTTATCAAGCTCAATTAACATAAAATAATTATAATTTTATAAAATTATTTAAGACTCAGCAAAAATCGTAAATTATATTTTTTAATAATAATACAAATAAACGAGAAAAAGTATTTCACTCTAAATTATAGCTGCCTTCAAAGTTTATACATTTAAACTAAACAGTTTTTATACGAAAATTTTATCGACAATAACATTTTAATTAATACCCTCATCAATCAGTTAGTTTGGTACATATTCTTTGCAATTATTAATTATGTTTTATATAATTTATAAAGTGTCACACGAAATTTGACATACCTTTTATGTCTAATTATATAAATATATTTCGCAATAGCTAAGGGTTAATAATTAATAGAAGAATTTTTCCGATCGAAGATAGAATCCCTCGGCATTTTCTTCCTTTTTATCTTTTTTCATAAATAATACGAGATTTGAAAAATTAAAAAAATAAAATAAAAATAAATAAGAGAAAAAGAGAGAATGTAATAAATTTATAGACGCACACACGCACACGTATAAATATGTAAATATGTGCGCGTGTGTGCGTGTGTGTGTATATATATATATATATATATATATATATATATATACATACAAATATATATTGTGCGTTTAAATAATTTTATATAATACTTAAATACAAGACAGAAACAAATTTTAAAAAATTTTTTGCATCATTTTTATCATTTTTATCAAATATCGATTTTTAATTGGCAATTGTATTAAAAACAGTCATATCTTCGATCGTTTAATGTCAAAAGATAAACTGTACTGCTCTACAGAATTGTTAAAAACAAAAGTTCAATTTTATAACAAAAAAAAAAAACAAACAAACAAAAACAAAAAAAAAAACAAAAAAAAATTAGGTCTAAGGATTGGGATAAATAAAAATTTTGTCGACCAGTACAGTTTATTTGTAATATCGAGCAGTGAACCAGACCAATCAATTTGCCAAATGTTATTCACTGCCGGGTGTACGAAGTGCCGCCCGCAACACCTGCCAATCATTAATTATTAATTTTTGTTTTAAATGAGAACAAAATTCCAACGTGTTCGAATTCAGTTTCTCAGAAGACAGCTTTTTATTTCTGGCATTGCCCGCGCAGCGATGGCCACGTGCGGTTCAGAAGTCGGCTAAAAAATAATAGTCATACACTAAGTAGGATATAGAGGACTGATGGGAATCTCACCATTTTCGACGCACACAGATGTAAACGAGATGTGACAGCGTTGATATCGCAATATATATTTTTTTAAGTGTAGTGAACTGCGTGAGCGACGTGATACCGTTGTATTTTGAAATGATTTATTTTAAATGATTAGATTGAGAATTAATTGGTCGTGGCAACGAATTAACCAAGCTGTTAGTACACAAAGATGTTAAGAAGAGGGAATTTTATGAAATTAGAAATTTTATTTGCTCAATAAATAATTCATTATCCCGCGTGTGAGAATAATTGGCTTTATAATTACTTCTGTAATCCCATTTCTTTTTCTTTCTATATCCACAATATTATACTTATTAATTGAAAAGGTTAGAACTTTGAATGAAACGTAAAGATTACGATCATTGTTTCTCACTAATTGCTGCTCTTTAAGGATTAAATGAACTTTTTAAAATTTGGATAGATAATTACGCACTGGCTGTTTTCAATTTAATTACTTAAAATAAATGATCAAAGAATACATGTTGTTCTCATCACTCGCATAGCCCATTGCACTTAAGGAGAAAATGGAAGTCTAGAACTTGCGTAAACCGCTATCACGTAAATTACGGAATTCTTATATAGAATCCCAGGATTTTAAATCCTTCCACCTTAAACTTCACATACTCCGTCCTCATAAAGGCCAAAATTAAATATAATTGCTACACCGCTTATACACTTTATCTCTTTTCACATACTTTTTCATTTGTTCTCTCCTCTCTCTCTCTCTCTCTCTCCGTTTATTTTGTTTAAAAAAAATAAACCAAAAAGAAAAACAAAAACAAAATCAATATTTGTCTCTATATCTCTTTTTATGTTCCTTCATTGTAATTGCATATAACAGTTTACGAGAGTCTAGGCACTTGGGATGGGAGCGAATAAGGTAAACGACAATCAAAACCATCATATCTCTATGTGATGTCGTGTGACACATGATGCAAAGCAATGCTTAGTATCAGAACACCAGATTGATCATGGTCTTGCTTTTGTACAAGTCAAAGGCTCTCAGCTCTCGCATCCAATTGTCCATATTTAATTGTGGAGGGCATCGTCGCTGGTCCCCACTTTGTTGCAATAAGCTGCTGAACAAGTTTAACCATCTTTTACCAAATTGAAAAAAAGTAAGATTTATTAGTATAAGAAGTCGTGGCTGGCCTACTCGTGGTCTACTGAAAACTTACATGGTATGGTCAATGTGTGCACTTAAAGTGTTTTTAATTGTTTTAATATGGAACGGCCCCTGATTGTAGTTTGTTACTACTCGATTGAAATTTGAATTTTTCCATTATCTTTTTTTATATGCTAATGAAAAAATATATCTACTTTGAGCATTGATTTAAGAATGTATATCTAATACATTGTGTTATACAGATTGAAAAAAATATGGAATAACAAACAGCACTCTGAGGAAATCCACCTATCAATTCACTTTACATCTATGTTTATGTAGTTTTCTACAATTAGTTCGACTTACGACTGTTTCTGGATATCGAACTGCTACATTGAAGATAAGAAATTCATCGTCGTTGTAGGCTCGACCAAATTGATCTTGATATTTGAAGTGAGCCTCTTCATCATTCATTACCTATGAAAAATCATAGAGGTTATTGAAAAATATAGCGTTACAACAATAATTTGATCAATTAATTACACATTTTACATAAACTTACAGCTACTTCTGTAATACTAAACGCTGGTTGATCTACAATATCTTGGGTATCCATAGAGAGGCTGTCATCTACACAATCTCCTCCTAGCTGCTGTAATTCTAATGAATTGTGTCTAATCAAATTTACCGGGGTCATCTGAAGCAAATAAACTTTTAGTTATATCTATCATAATTTAGCGCAGATATCAAATTAATCTAAATCTGATATCAAACTTACTTTTATTTGAACTTTCTTATTTTGTAACCTATTCTTCCATAATTTAATTGGATTATTAAAAAGCTTGAATTGAATCACTGTTTCATCTGTTAGCCATCCCCTTTCAATTTTACAATATTCATTATGATAGCCAAATTTATCGGGATCCGGCAAGGTATCTTCTGAGAAATTACTTAGTACTGAAAATGTTTAAGTCTAATAATATGTATCCCATCAGAGTCCCTCGATGAAATATTTAAACTGACTAAAATTCAATATTACTATCCGATTATAGTCTATGAAAGATGAAGGCTTTGTGAAAAGTTAAAATAATTCTCAAAATCTAACGAGTATTAAATATTGATACAAAAATACCATTGTAATGGTTTTTTACACAAAAAATAGAATTTAAAGGTAATTTACATAATTTAATGTGAATTATTAATTAAAAAATTTAATGCTTTGTAAGAGCAATGGAATAAAACTACTGTATTTGTAGAAAAACGTTCTGATTTTCTTGTCAATACATTAACAATTAATTATCACAAGCGTAACGACATACCATTTCTTTTTATCTGCCTTGGTGACATGTGAGTTTCCCATTTTCTTATTATAAAAGTTTTGGCAGAATTTTTTGAACCATTTGGCTGACAAACTACAGCTATAAAGAAACGAAACTGTACATCAGCATCGGAGGGTAAAGCAATCTTTTGTGAAAATATTTGTCCTCCCCTAAAAACATTTATTACAATTTATCAATTAAATGTATAAAAATAATTCTATATATTGATCTTCTCTTTAGAAAAACTTATGCCTACTCAGAATTATCAGAGGCACTATTTCCCATGAAATCTAACCCATCGCTAGAATTTCCATAGAGATCCGCAAAGTCTGCGGAGCTATTATTATCAAATACTGTGGGTGAATCAGTGCCATCGTTTTCTCTGGTTAATTGAATGGCCTGATTATGGTTCCAAGCACCAAGTTCAGGTAGGTTACCCACAACAAAGACAACGTCATTTTTTTCCAAGCCAGGTACCTATCGTTAATTCATAAATCAATTAATGTAATTAAATTATAATATACGCCATTGCTGTGAATAATAAATAATCATCAAAGTTAAATGATTATCAGAGAATTCTCGACAAAAACAAATTAGTATTAGTATTAAGTATAATAATAAATAATCATCAAAGTTAAATGATTATCAGAGAATTCTAGACAAAAACAAATTAGTATTAGTATTAAGTAGTAGTAGTATATCAATGGTCCTATTTTTAATTTATTTTATAAATAATAGATAATGAACGTAATTATTCTAACTATAAATTTATACAAAACAATAATAAAATTTAGCTGAAAAATTGAAATATCTTATGATATTCTAAACAAAAATATCTATCTATCTCTCTCTCTTTTTATATAAATTGTATATATATATATATATATATATATATATATATTAGTTTTATATAAAAAACAATTGTTATTAAACTTTTTAATTGCACGTATGAAACTTTATTCCTAATTATTACGTATAAAATTTATCACCAATTTCATCGTACATTTCCTATGTTTGAATATTAAAGTTATTTCTGTTGATTGTAAAACAAAGATAAGAATTTTAATTTATAAGTGTAAAAATATTATTTTTTTTATATGTACTCATATTTTATAAAATAATCAATAAAGTTTATTATATCTTACCTGGACTCTGAACATCCAATCTCTTTTGGAAGCCCTCATGTTAATTGTATTTTACGTCAGGATAGGTGATATTTCTAATACAACAAGTAAAAGTATTTTGCATAAGAAACTATGAAATTAAAGAGATACGGTATTATAACGA